CTCATCCAGAACAGGCAGATTTCCAGATTTCATGATGATTATATTCATATACAAAGTAGAACCCCTGTAATCAAAGCAGAATAAAGTACAGTGGTGAGACATACAGTGGTATGATGGCATGAGATTTTAATGTTATGTGATGTCTCATTTGAAGAAACTAGAAACATTTTGTGGAAGTTATCAGATTTGGGGACTCAATTATTCCCAATTACACGTTAGTCACATTATGAGACAAACCTTAAAAACTGTAGTGAATTTAGTCAACCAGATGAGGTCAGCACCAAAACAAACAGGCTTCAACGAAGCTAAACTGCTCCCAGTTTGGTGCTGGTGACAAACATATTCCATGTGAAAACTGCCAGAACATTTTTAATATCCTCATCTGCTGACCTTGGCATTGGACAGTATCTAACACAGCTGATCCACACTAACATGGCTCGCAAAGAACTTTTATTAAAGGACACACACCTCTAACCTGAGGCTTTAAATTTCATGTATATACTACTCACTGAATTCAATACAGTTTGGGGTTTCACAGCTGCCAGAGAGGAGATCAGGTGGCAAGGGTACTTGCTAATAAGATTAAAAATTGAACTGCAAATTGGCTAACATTTTGCATGGATTATCACATGCTTAAGAATCAGAATTTCAGTTTGGCCTCCCTTCAACCATGTGTTTCTTCCATTCTGCCCAAATTGATCTTGATAATGGTTGGTGAACTCAATACACAGTATGTAAAGAACTTAAACCAAAAGACAGGACAGCATCTCAATGAAAAAGATAACAAGGCAAATGTTTAGCATGAAGGTCTCACAGTATAGCTGTGTCCAACAGCTGCTCTTTTTAATATTCCTTTCACAGTGACCCAGCCTTTGTTTTACTCTTGGCTTCTTGGATGGCAGAGGAGAAACAGAGTAGTCACAGTAACAAGAAGAAGAGAGTCAGTAAGAATCTACAAATCTAAAAAAAAAAAAAAAAGGGCAAAAGCGATCTAAAAAGTACATGAAGAGATGCACAGCATCATAAGTCATCAAGAAAATTCAAGGCAAAACCACAATGCAATACCAATACCATATCACATCCACTAGGATAGCTACAATCAATAGATAGATAATAGCAAGTGTTAATGAAGATGTAGAGAAACTGGAACCCCCAAGGACTGACAGTGGAAATGTAAAATAGTGCAGCAGCCATGCTGGAAATCAGTTGGGCTGTTCCTCAAAATGTTAAAACTAAACTCATAATTTACTGACCCAGCAAGTCTACTCATAGGAACTACCCAAAAAGAAATGAAATACATATCCACATAAAAACTTATACGTTAATGTTCACAGCAATATTCACAATAGCCAAAAAGTGGGAGTGACCTAAATATCCATCAATTCATCAACAGATGATCAAAATGGTGTATAGCCACACCATGGACTATTATGCAACAATGAAAAAGGGAAAAGTAGCAACAAAAGCTATAATAAAGGATGAATCTTGGAAACGTGTTTGGTGAAAGAAGCTAGGTCACGTATTGTGTGATTCCATTTATATGAAATGTCCAGAATGAGAAATTTTAGAAAAAATTAAGAGTCGCCTACATTTGAAGGAGATGATGACTAAGGGGTATGGGACTTTTCAGAGTGATGAAAATGTACTAAAATTAAGATTGCAGTGACAGCTTTACAATTCTGAATGTACTAAAAATGGTTGAATTATATACCTTAAGCAGGTAAATTGTATGGTATGTGAATTATATTTTATTAACATTGTTAGAAATAAAGAAAACTAGGAAGAAAGAGACTGAGTTATAAGAGGCAGAAGGATTCTAAGAAGTCTGAGTCCAAGAAACTAGTCCTGGCTGAAAAACCAGATGATGGGGCAATTCACATGCCAATGACTCGTCTCAGTGCTGGACAAGCAACTCACCAGGCCAGGTGTAGGGCAGCATTCTTTCGTATGACCACCGCCCCCACCATGACATCCTACACAGTGGCTTCCAGTCATCAGCCAGGTATCTGCTCTGGGCTGTCCAGAGGCCTAGACATTATACACCAGCTCAGGCACTGCTTCCACTTTGTACATGGAAACTGGCACCTGTGCCTGACAGGGATTCAGAAACAACACACTAAAGACAGAAAAGAGCACTTGCTACAGTAACCAAAGCAGGCTTCTCTTTGACACTTAACTTCCCTGCTATAACAGAAACCATCAAATTAAATAATGGGCATAAATTCAAGATCATTTCCAACATCATGACCCATACCAGGGATCTTACATTAAAAATTTTTATGATTAGCTGCACCCCCAAGCTGTACTAAAATCCCATTTTTAATTAAGTAAAAGAGAAGGGGGCTCACCACATTAGCTATATAATTATGAAGACTGAAATATCTCAGTCACAATAGTTTTTCGATTATAAAAACCAAAAAGTGAAAAAATAAAACAAATGCAATAAATATCACAGCTCATGGCAGAAATATAAGTATATAAACTAAAGATGCAATTAACATGCAGATGTAGCTTTCCCAACAACAACCAAAAAAAAGAAACTTATTCCCACAAAACAGTTAGCAAAAAGAAATGTATTTCCATTGTCTTTTGGCGGGGAGACCTACTTGTTCACAAGAACATTTAAAAATTTCAAAGAACGAGCACAAGGAAAAGGGACAGCCTACATTCTCCCTCACACATGGAGGAGTACTCGAGCACCTCAGAGCTTCTATGAGGTCATTCGAGGGGACAGATGTTTGGAGGGGCTTTTGGGAACAGCACAGGAAATGGGTTATCTAACTAAGGATAAAGGGACAAGAGATGGAAAGTGGGTTCTGAGGCAGGTAAAGGTACTCTACAGAAGAGGTACAATTTTATAAGGAAGGGAGATAAAAGGAGTATTAAGTGGCCCTCCCTGGTGGCGCAGTGGGTTGAAGCACAGCACTGAGAATCTAAAGCCACTTCCGCATGAGTTCGAT